ATTCTGAGAAAAGGTTCATATTATTTTGACAATAACAATTTTATTTAAAACAAAATGAGATCAGAGAAAGGATTAAATCTGCATATTAATTTCAAAATAAAACGCTGTCATCAGTTTTCATGGATTAACAAACTACTTTTAAAGTTTAATATTCAAAAGAAAGTTTTACAGTTTTATAGCTCAAGTAACATGTTGTAAACATTAAACAAACATTCACTTCTATGGAGCTGGATTACATATGAGGGTCCCTAAATGGTGGTCAGAGGTCCAGATCTGGACTGAAACGTGACCTGTTTGGACCCAGATTGATTATTAAATTTTAGTACAATAAATGACTATTTTTAAAAATTTTATATTTACTTCTTTCTTGTGTACATTTCTCTGTTTAATTAGTTGTAAGTAAGGCAGCTTTTCTAGCTCACTTATTTTGTGCACATATTTTTAGTGTTTTACGGTATTTGATTTACATGGCACAGCTTTTCCAGCATTTACTGCAACAAATTTAACAACTTTTCTACAACCTGTGGTAATTTATTTGAGGCAATGCAGTTTTTCTAGTGTTTACAGTAATTTATTTTTGGCAGCTTTTTTACACTTTACYGTAATTAATTTACGTTAGTGCAGATTTTCTACATTTTACGGTAAAACATCCTTACACGGCCCAGCTTTTCTAAATTTTATGGTAATACATGATTGGCAGAGCAGCTTTTCTGGCATTTAGAATAATTCACTTTAGCATGGACGTTTCCAAATTTTACAGTAATTCATTTTAGGCTGCACAGGGTTTCTGTAACTTATGGTAATTTGTTTTAGCTGGTGCAGCTTTTCTAGCGTTAATTCCCACATCTGGTTCGTGTTATTTTTTTTACTTTTTTTATTTTTTTTAGAAAACTAACATGGCTGTCGCTAAGATAATTTAATTAAAGAGCTTTGGACTAGAAAATGACTTTGGAGGAATTTTCTGTACATCGAACATCCTAAAAACATGAAATATTTCCAGTATTGTGGGTCAAATTCTCAGTGAATATAAGGTCAGTTTTAAAGGTTAAATAATTAACGATGATGTCAGATAAGCAGTTCTATTGTTTCTAATAATATGGTAAAATAAAGTTTAATTACATCTTTCATTTCATCAAAAAATGTGCTTATATACGCTGGATTTATAAATGCAGAATGATTTTATGTGCATGAAACATAGTTTTTTCTTTTATAGCCCCAACACCCAAAATGAAAGAATGAAAAGAAGAATTTGAGCCGGTTATATTCAGTTTTAAATATTTACACAGTAGTAATATTTTTTATGAACTCCTGTCTGATCTCCCTGCCTTCCCTTCTGTCCAACACCAGTCGGGTTCTGGAAGCTCCTACACGTAGTTGGTGTTGGGTGCAGAGGCGTTGTTACTGTAGTACTTGGCGGTTCCTCCTGAGCCGCTGGATTTGGATCTGCTGAAGCAGCAGAGCAGACCTCCCGCCAGGAGCAGCAGCACGCCGGAGGCCCAGCCGATGTAGATGCACGCTCCCATCTCTCTCTTCATGGACGCYGCCACCAGCGGGTTGTTGAAGTCTCTCACCGTGGAGTTGGCCGACCAGCTGACGGGGATGATGACCAGGAGCCCCGCCAGCAGCATGCCCACCCCGGCCGCCAGGCTGATCTTGGGCTTGACGTCCTCGTTCTGCACGCACGTGGTGAAGTCGGCGCCGCAGAAGAGGATGAGGAGGCTGAGGCCGCCGAGCATGCAGCTGATGATGGTCATGGCCCGGGAGGCCTGGATCTCCGTGGGCAGGACCAGCAGGGAGTCGTAGTTCTTGCACTGCTGCTGCCCGGTGCTCTGCACCACGCACTCCATCCACAGACCCTCCTGTTGGTTCTGCTCGCCCAAACACACACACACAGTTCAGGTTACAACTTTAGAAAATTCACGAGCTGTGGGATCAATTTTGTGCCAACAGGAACTGAATTTGAATTGCTCGGATTGAATCTGAATGTGCATAAATTTAATTTGAATTAATTTGCTTTAAAACTGTATTTTGGTCAATTAAAAATTCAGTTTGACTACTTTCAGTTCTATAAGATTTTTGTGTCACATCCTGGTCCTTGAGAAAGCCAGGCAGAGTAATCAAACACAGATCCACAGATTTATGTTTCACTTTGGTGACGTTTCCCTTCTGTATGTAACCGACTTGATGCAATCCACTGTAAAAGTGACAAAAACASACAAAGTTATTTTATTGCAGTGATTAATTTGACCTATATGTAGAAAATGTTACATTTACATCATGGATCACATATTGATCAGATGCTGCTGCTGACTGATCCATGATGAGATGTAAATGTAACATTTTCTACATATAGGTCAAATTAATCACTGCAATAAAATAAATTTGTCAGTTTTTGTCACTTTTACAGTGGATTACATCAACTCTGTTACTTACAGAACAGAAACTTCACCAAAGTGAAACATAAATCTGTGGATCTGTGTTTGATTACTCTGCCTGGCTTTCTCAAGGACCAGGATGTGACACAACAATCTGAGTTATGGAACTGAAAGTGAAAGTAGTCAAACTGAATTTTTAATAAACCAAAATACAGTTTCAAAGCAAATTAATTCAGATACAAAACTTAACATTCATCATCAACTCATTAAATTCAGTTTCAATGTAATGAAATTTGTTTTCAAACAAATACATTCAATTTCAAATCATGTACATATAAATTCAATCCGAGCAATTCAAATTCAATTTCTGCTGGCACAAGATTGATCCCGTACATGAAACACCAAAAAATAATAAAAAAAAAAACCCGTACGAAATAAAGAAATCACTGACCTCTTAACAAAATTCAAAATGGCTGCCAAAGCTAACCAGTTTCCTTACCTGAGCTGTGAGAATGTTGCTTCCGACGTAGGACGAGACCTTCCAGAGAGGGACGGCCAAGCACACGATGACCCCGATCAGGCCGAGGACCCCGAGGGCCACACAGACCACATGAATCCCAGCAGAGCCCATTTCTGCAAAAAAACACAGACACTGAATKAAACATTWAAAAAATTATAGCTGTTTGTTTCCTACAAACTTCAGGGGAAATCATACCTCGTCTTTGGAAAACTTTATTTACTGTGTGAATGCTGAGTCAGCATCTAAGCTGACATTTGATCATTTTACTTTTGCTGCTTTTCACTTTTAATACTTAGTTTTTTAGCTAGTTGCTACTTTTACCTTATAACTAGCTTTTTGTTTTTTGTTACTTTTAGTTAGCGTTTGCTTGAAGCTAGATTTAGCTAGTCTCCGTGTACTTTTAGCTAGTCTTTTTCTACTTTTAGCTAGTCTTTAGATTTTTTTTATCTCCCGTTTGCTATATTTAGCTTTAACTTAGCTTTCTGATCACCTCTAGCTGGATTTTTGCTGATTTAATATTTACTAGCCTTTAGTATTATTTATTTTTTGGTTAGCGCTTCACAACTTTTAGCTTCTCGCTCCCGATTTTTCTACTTTTAGATTTAGCATTTAGTTAGCGCTTTGCCATTTTCGATTTTAGTAAAATGTGTTGCTACTACTTTTTGGCTAGCTGCTACATTTCGCTTCCAGCTCCAATTTCTGCTACTTTTAGCCCTTAAATAAAGATTTTCTTCTTTTATCGTTTATTTTTTTTTTGCAAGTGAATTAGCTCTTTRGGCTAATGCTCAGCTTTTCTTTAGCTTAAAATTAAGCTTCGGCTGATTTCAGTCAATCTTTCAGCACTCATGTTGCTTTTAACAAATCATTTTGGTTTTTAAGAGAAACATTTTCTTTTGCAACTTGAACTAATATGTTTTTATTTGTAATTATCTAATAAAAAGCAGAAAGGAATTTGTTGTTGTTGTTGTTGCGCAGCCGAACAGACGCTGTCAGACAAACAGAGTTAATCATATGTGTCTTCACAGGAACTGTGGTTTGAGGCGACGTTTTTTCAGCTCGCTCTTGCTCAGGCAGGTCCAGACCTCCAGGGTCCCACCTAGGACCGTCTGAACCACTCCCTCACATCCCAGAACCTGAACAGACCGCTTCAGGTCTTTATTATATCCTCACACTTCGTTTATTCTGCCGCTTAAAATAAATTTATGTTAAACGTTTAAACACAAAAACAACTTATAGAAATAAAATAATATATTAAAAAAACAAGTGTTTGGCTGAGTTGGACACTTTGTTCTCAAGTCAGAAATAAATAAATGAACTTTTATTGTTTTTATTTGAATTATTAAATAATTTAAAATTTAAACATATCATTTTTAACCCTGTATCTTTTGTGATGCTTTTAATGTTAAAGGGCAACAAATACACTTCCTCACAGATTAGATTTAAAGATTTAAACCAACATTTTAATACATTTAAAGCAAAACTTCCTGATTTAGACATAATAATGAATTTATTTTGTAATTAAAGTCACAAACTTACAAATTTTCTTTTAATAATCTCACTGATTGTGATGTTTTATCCAAATTTGGTCAAAAAAATCTGTAATTGATTAAATATTTCATCCACTTCTGTAAAATGAATATTTAATTTAGACAAATGAAGTTTCTTACCTTCTGTTTGATAATGGATGTCTCGGACGTCTTGGAGTTCCTCTGTTGGTTTCCTGTTGCTGCAGATGTGAGCTGCGTGAACAGACGTGTGTTTTTATGCAGAAATGTCAGGTGGAGGTGGAGCTCGACGCCCACCGAGCAGAGGTATGGACCAGGACCAGTGTGGACTTGTATGTTCCCGTGTTCCCCTCTCTTTTCCCTCCTGTTGGGGAAATGTTTGAGGAAAACACAGTAAGGTTCTCAGAAAGTCTTTATTATTGGATAAAAGCTCAGATGATGCTGATGCTGAGGTCAGAGGTCAGGTGTTCCTCAGGAGTCTCCAGGTAAATAAAACTGTGAGTCACCTGGACGACCGCCATCTTCTCTGCCTCCAACAAACAAACAAACAAACATCACCACCTCCCCCCACCCCCACCCCACCACTCACATCCACACCCGGCTCTGTCGAAACCGTGCTGACGAACGCCAGGAGGCCGTTTTTAGAGGCTGACACATTGTTTGGGATTTGTGTGGTGGGTTTCGTGGATCACAGATGAAGAAATCAGAAGGAATGTCCGTGACTCGGGTTCAGAGTTTTGCTTTCGGCTGATCTCGAGCTGAACTTTCGGCATCACGGAGCAGAGACGTTCCTGTTCAAAACTGACCGGGTTCGTTTTTGTGACACTAAAACTGCCTCTGCATCAGAACTGAAATAAACGAACCTTCCTGCTGCCTCTGGGTCAAATCACAAGGCCTCAGTTTGACCCAAGAGTCACAGCTGAGCAGCTTCTCAGCTCAAACTGAACAAAAAAAAATTTACAATTTTTTGAGAAGCTGAACTTTGTTCAAATATGCTGAAGAAGCTGGTTAAAGTTAAAAGAATCATCACATAAAAGCTAAAAGTTACAAACACACAACTAAAACTTAAAAGATCAATTAAATGGAACAAAACAAGCTAAAATCTAAAGTAGCAAAAGTCTGAATGTCCCTCACCAAATGTAAATATCCTTTAACCTCTTGAGCCTCATGCAAAACAGCTTTTTTCTGTTTTATATTTCTTTTAACTTATTTTAACTTCAGCTCTGTCAGTTGAATCTGGTCATGTTTGGTATCAACAGAAAGCTAAGAATCTCGGCCAAAACCTCATGGAAACTATATTTACATTCACCAAACACAGCTCAAACGACAGGCAGTTGAATCAGAAAATAAACAAACTGTACAAAATAGCGTCATTGCAAATTTGTAAAGGAAAAAAAATTGACATTATTTTTTTAACCTCTTCAGCCCCAAGGGGTTTTCTTAAAGTTTTTGCTCAAAATGCCATGCTGAAATGTAACTGAGTGTATCTCAGCGTTTACAAATTCTACTTAAATAATCTTGGTATCAAAATAAAGCTAACATTTGGGAGATTTTATTGGAAGTGTAAATATTAAAACAGCTGCTGTTGTTTTAGAGACATTGAGGATGGTACATAATTTTAAAAAATCCCTCCAGTCTGAATAATTTTTTGTTAGARAGTATATAACCTATTTAAAACCAGTGATTCAGGATAAAAACTCTTGGAAACCATWAATCCACTTGTGGACATCACCTGTGCAAAGATTCATGCTGCTAAAATGAACTGGAGCAAAGTTACAGAGGTTTTAGTAAAGAAATAAATTTGTGTTTTGTCTTTCTGCACAGGACAGACCATGATGGTTCCATTAATAAATGTTAAGAAATCTTAAGTTTTTATGTTCAAAAGTGGTTGGTTGGTTGGTTGGTTGGTTGGTTCGTTGGTTCGTTGGTTCGTTGGTTCGTTGGTTCGTTGGTTCCCAAGAAGCATACTTGTTTGTAAACTGCTATTATATTTATGTAAGTGTACTTGGTAAATAAAAGCACATAGGGAAATACACTTTTATATACTTTCGTATGCTTAATCACATGTATTTTTTACTTAGCAAAAAGTAGTGTACTTGAAGTTCATTTTAATAAGAATACTTGAGTATAAGTTTAAGTATATCAAGTATACTAGGCACCATGCAATTGTAGTGTACTAGAAAGTATACTGATTTTTATACTGACATTTTGTTTATAAAAAGCATACTTTAAAGATACTGTTATAATGTCTTTTTAGATTTATAAAC